CTTCCTTCCTTCCTTCCTTCCTTCCTTCCTTCCTTCCTTCCTTCCTTCCTTCCTTCCTTCCTCTTTCTGAAACCCAGCAGAGTTTAGCCCAGCCAGATCATCATCTCCTCCTCCTCCTCCTCCTCCTCTCTCTAAGGGAATGTTTATTTATTTCTTCAATTTTCACGCCCTCCCCCAATGTTGACATAACAAACACGTGTGCCTTTCTGAATAGGCAGCCAAGAATGTAGTCATAAAAGCCAAAATGGCCGCCACCATCCCAGGAGACCTTAAAGGGACGGTTCTCTTCTCATTTTTGGAAACCGATCCCATGCTTGGAAATTAAGGGGAACGGCTGCATTAGTGGTTCAGTTAAAAAACAACAACGGAGCTTTTTCAGGGAAACAAGAAAACAGGTGTATCTTTGACGGTGGCTGCCATCTTGATTGTTTTGACCAAACTGTGTGGACACCTCTGATAAACCCTTCCATTTTTATCCGGTGCTGTTTTTCCACCATCTCTGCAGGACAAACAGCCCTCCACATCGCCATCGAGAAGAGGAACTACAAATTTGTGAAGCTCCTGGTAAAGAACGGGGCTGATGTCCATGCCAAGGCTTCTGGTTTTTTGTTCCAAAAGGACCGAAAAGAAGCCCACTTTTATTTCGGTATGTCAGCGGGACAAATGTTGTGGGTGCATTTCGACTTTTTAACCACCCCTGCAGGTATCCTTGTTTTCATCGGCAAAGGGGATTTGATATCCTCCCTCTCTGGGAGACACTGCAGATCAGAAGTGGCCAACCAGGGGTATTTGAAGGCCAGAAGACTTAAAGACCTGTGAACTTCAACCTTGGCCACTAGAAGACCTGCTGCCTGGGGAATTCTGGGAGTTGAAGTCCACAAGACTTAAAGCCTGTGGATTTCAACTTGAAGGCTGGCTGCCTGGGGAATTCTGGGAGTTGAAGTCCACAGGTCTTCAAGTGGCCAAGGTTGGACACCTAGATGTTCAATGCAACCTTGGCCAATCGTCTTCTCTCTTCCAGGTGAACTTCCTCTCTCCTTGGCCGCTTGTACCAACCAGCCAGAGGTGGTCATGTACCTCCTGGATAACCGTCACAACAAGGCCAAGCTGACCGAACAGGATTCCATGGGCAACACCGTCCTCCATGCGCTGGTGATGGTGGCCAACAACACGGAGAAGAACACCAAGATCATGGTCAACATGTATGACAGGATCCTAATGAAAGGGGCCAAGATGGACCCTCCCTCCAAGTTGGAAGTGATTAAAAATGGGGAACAGTTGACCCCTTTAACGCTGGCTGTCAAGACTGGGAAAGTCGAGGTAGTCACCCTCTTTGCCACGATACATAGTCCTCGACTTACAACCATTCATTTAGTGATGCTTCCAAGTTACAACGGCATTAGAAAAAAGTGATTTTTCACATAATTGCTCCTCTGACTTGGCATTTTTAAGATGGGTGGACTTCAACTCCCAGAATTCCCCCGCCAGTCTTGCGTGAAGTACAGGTAGTCCTCGACACGACGCCCCGAATTTATGTGGCTAAGTGAGACATGTGTTAAGCGAATTTTGCCCATGACCTTTCTCGCCACAACTGTTAAGTGAATCACTGCAGTGGTTGAGTTAGTAACACGGTCATTAATTGATTCTGGCTTTTGACTTTGCTTGTCGCAAAAGGGAATGACGTGACGCTGGGACGCTGCAACTGTCATAAATATGAGTCGGTTGCCAAGTGTCTGAATTTTGATCTCCTGACCAGGGGGATGCTGCAACGGTCCTAAGTGCGAAAAACGGTCCTGTCACTTTTTTCAGTGCCGTTGTAACTTTGAACGGTCACTAAATGAACAGTTGTAGCTCAAGGACTACCTGTATTTACATGACTGCCGTATACTGTGGTCTGTGTAATGTCAGTGTCAGGACTCCCAACAAACCCACCCCCATTGAAATCGTAAGTTTCTAGCCACATCTTTCAAGAGTAAAAAAAAAAATGATTTATTAGGAACGCCCATGTTGACATTAGCTGGGTGCAGCCGACACTAAAATACACCACACATTTCCCCCTTGACCCTGGTCTTCCCCCCACCCCACCCCCTGGATGTATATTCTCCAATGGGACACATCCATAGCCAAGAGTCATCAATCATGCTCTACCAGTAGTACTCTTTCGCGCCAACAGCTTCGGCCACCTAGCAATTATCTGAAGCATGTAAGGAATGCACTGCTTTCCCCCATTCCCTTTCTGCTGGCAACTAAAAATACCAAAGGAGTATTTTTTTTTTTAGTTGACAGTCAGCTTGACTTCATTATGGGTGCACCCAACTTCTTGGAGACAGACTAGAAAAAAGGAGAAATGGACATAGATGCAGGAGGTTTATTATTATTGTTGTTGTTATTTTTATTATTATTTTATGAATCATGTTTAATTGCATTTAAATTATCGATGCAAATACTGTAATTATAATTACTTTGTAATATTATTGTTCATATTGATAACAATGATGTTAATATTAAATAATAATATAATTAATAGTATTATTACCGATATTAGTTATAGTTAATAGTAGCATTATTAAGGATTAATTAAAAGGTCAGGTCCAAAGCGAATCATGTTTGTGCTGAGGTTTTCTGGATTGCATAGCTTAGTTATCAGGCGTGACTTCAAGAAGGTCAGAAATGTCCAGACGATGGACGGACCCACCCAAGACACTCCTGTTACCAACTCAACCGTTTTGGTCTCTCCAGATCCTCAGGCACATGCTCCAGAGAGACATGAAGGAACGCAAGTTCCACCACCTTTCGCGCAAGCTCATCGAGTGGACCTATGGCCCCATCCAGAGCTCCCTCTACGATCTGACCTCCATCGACAGCTGTGAGGAGAACTCAATGATGGAGACCCTGGCCTACAACAGCGACGTTCCAGTTAGTAGATCCAGTCAAGGATTTTTCTTCTCAGGATCTTCTCGGCCCTGCGATTCTTTCATTAAGCGCCATCTCCTCCTTCTTCTCCACTTCTCCGCACCCCTTCCGCCTCTTCCTCCTTTTCTTCCTTTTCCTCCTCTTTTATATTCTTTTTTTTTTAATTTGTCAATTGCTTATATAAGCAAAAACATAGCTATGAATACATGGATAAATATAAGAAAAATAAAAAATATATAAAACAAACAATAGGACACGGATGGTAGGCACGTTGGTGTGCTTATGCACGCCCCCTACAGACCTCTTAGGAATGGGGTGAGGTCAATAGTAGACAATCTAAGGTTAAAGTTTTTGGGGTTTGGGGAAGAAACCACAGAGTCAGGTAGAGTATTCCAGACATTGACCACTCTGTTGCTGAAGTCATATTTCCTGCAATCAAGTTTGGTGCGGTTAACCTTGTATCTATTGTTTGCTCTTGTGTTGTTATGGTTGAAGCTGAAGTATTCATTTGCAGGTAGGACATTGCAATGTATGATTTTATATACTATACTTAGATCGGACTGAAGGCGGCGTAGTTCTAGGTTTTCTAGGTGTAGAACTTCGAGTCTGGTGGCATAAGGTATTCTACAACGAGTAGAGGAGTGGAGAACTCTTCTTGTGAAATATTTCTGGACTTTCTCAACTGTGTTAATATCAGATACGTAATGTGGGTTCCAGACTGATGAGCTGTATTCGAGTATTGGTCTAGCAAATGTTTTGTATGCTCTAGTTAGTAGTGTGATATTACCAAAGAAAAAGCTATGTAGGATTAGGTTAACAACTCTTAATGCCTTTTTGGCTATGTAGTTGCAGTGGGCTCTAGCACTTAGGTCATTAGAGATGAGTACTCCAAGATCCTTGACAGAATTTGGATCATCAACAAGGTCTTGACTATTCAGCTTGTATTTTATTTTCTGATTTTTTTTGCCAATATATAGGACAGAGCATTTATTTGTTGAGATTTGAAGCTGCCATTTGTTTGACCATTCTGATACATAGTCAAGGTCTTTTTGAAGGGTAGTAGTATTGTCTCTGGTATTGAATAGCTTTACATCATCAGCGAAGAGAACACAGTTGCTCTTAATATGATCATAGAGGTCATTTATGTAGAGTATGAAGAGAGTTGGTCCTAGAACACTGCCTTGGGGACACGTTGGGGGGACAGTGTTGACAGGTACAGAATTTGATAGGACGCTCCCAATTTTGACCATTTGTTGTCTGTTTGACAGGAATGCTTCTATCCAGTTATGTAGGTGTCCAGAGATACCATAAGATTTTAGTTTTAGGAGTAGTTTGTCGTGTACCACTGAATCAAAGGCTTTACAGAAGTCTATGTAGATTGCGTCTATTGCTTTGCCCTGATCGAGTTGTGTAGTCCATATGTTTTTGCAGTGCAAGAGTTGCAGATTGCACGATAGTTTTTTCCTGAAAGCAAATCGTTTATTGGAGAGTAGGTTGTTTGTCTCTAAGTGGAGGATAATGGATTGGTTAATAATTGCTTCCATGACTTTACAGGTGACGCAGCATAAGGAGATTGGTCTGTAATTTTCAACTAGGCTGGGGTCACCCTTTTTGAAGATGGGGATGACCCTGGCTTGTGACCATAGTTTTGGCAAGGAGCTGGTCCTGAAAGATTTTTCGAAGATTATGCTTAGAGGTTCGGCTATGGCAGTGGATAGCTTTTTAAAGAAGTAGGCACATATCCCGTCCGGTCCAATAGATAGAGATGGTTTTAGATTGCGTAGTGCTTTTACAACATTGTCTTCTGTAAGATCGATATGTATTAGATCATTGTAGTTGTCTGTGGTTCGATTAGGAAATACTGGGCATGATCCATTGCTGTTTACAAATACTGAGCTGAAGAATGTGTTAAAGAGGTTGGCTTTAATGGTGTCATCGTTGCAGTCTTTACCATTAGGTCCTTTCAGGGGTGGGATGGACCTTGAGTCTTTTAGTTTGTTGTTTACAAAATTGTAGAAAGCCCGGGTGGAATTGGTGCGTAGAAGGTTTTCTTCTTGTTTAATGTGATAATTGGTGCATTCAGTCTTTATCTGGTGGCATAAATTTTTGTATCGGCTTTTGAAGCTGGAAACGTGACCAGATTTGTTTTTCCGCCAAAGTGATTTCTTCTCCTCCTCTTCTTCCTCCTCCTCCCCTTCTCTTCTTCTGCCTGTTCCTCCTCCTCTTTTTTCTTCTCCTCCTCTTCCTCCCCCTCTTCTTCCTCCTCCTTCTCCTTTCTTTTTTCTCCTCTCCCTCCTCTTCCTCCTCCTCCTCCTTTTTCTCCTCCTTCTCCTTGGTGGCTGTGGGTGTGGAGTTTCCCTTTTATTCGCCCTTTTTCTTCCCCCGGGCCCTGTTTGCTCTGTGGTTTACCTCAGGGTGCTTCTGTTTGCCTGACTATCTACTTTGCTATCTATGTAAAATATATTTATATAAAACTACAAGTTCTGGTCAGCATCTCTGACTTCATTTGGACACGGGTTGCTGCGAAACCCCCTGACATGATCTCTCCGTCCACAGAACCGGTACGAAATGTTGGCCCTGGAGCCTTTGAACAAGCTACTTCAACACAAATGGGAATCTTTCATTAGAAAAAGGTTTCTCATCAGTTTTTTCTTCCATTTGATTTTCATGACGATCTTCACAGTCACCGCTTACAACTGGTCACCAAAGGATGAGGTAACTACTCTTCTTTTAAAAAAATGGATGGTTTTGGTGTAATAGTTTCAACAAGTCAGAATAGAATAGAATAGAATAGAACAGAAGAGAATAGATTTATCAATTAGAAGAGAATAGAATTATCAATTAGAATAGAATAGAATTATCAATTAGAATAGAATAGAATTATCAATTAGAATAGAATTATCAATTAGAATAGAACAGTATAGAAATATCAAGAATAGAATAGAAATATCAATAAGTATAGAATAGAAATATCAGTAAGAATAGAATGGCATAGAAATATCAAAGAATTGAACGGCATAGAAATAGAAATAGAATGCACGTCTTCTGTCATTTCCATAACTTATCCAAATATCAAATATTACCTTTTCTTTAACCAATCATACCAAATGTTCCATATTTCATAATAGTCACTATCTTGCTTATTTTTTAACAGTTTGGTTCGGCTATCCATCTCAGCACATTCATGTATTTTTTTAATTATCATATCCTCTGAAGGAATGAAAGATAATTTCCAGTTTTGCGCATAGGTTATTCTGGCCGCAGTTATGATGTGCAAAATTAAATACTGATATTTTTTCTCCATGTTTAAATCTATCATACTTAGCAGAAAGGTTTCGGGTTCAAGTTTTAAGACATGCATTTAGTTATAGACTATATAGAGAAATTAAAACGTTAAAAGAACGAAGGAGTTATTGTAACAAGGCAGATCACGTCAATGATAAAGATAAAGAATTTTTTTTTTAACCATTGCTCAACATACACTGTAAAATGTATATATGTATGTTTGTGTGTGTGTGTGTATATATATATATATATATATGTTTTCTGAGGTTCTCGCGGGTATTTGTATGTGGATCTTTGGTTGTTCGGGTTTTCTCCCGCGTAAGATTCGAAGTATCTAGGCAACGTTTCAATGGAGTCTCATTCATCATCTTCAGGCTTCTGTCTTCGGCTCTTGCTTCTCAGAGTGAATAAAGATAAAGAAATTTTTTTTTAACCATTGCTCAATATACACTGTAAAATGTATATATGTATGTGTGTGTGTGTGTATATATATATATATTTGTTTTCTCAAGTTTTCACGGGTACTTACATGTATGGCATTCAGCTTTGTTCGGGTATTTTCCCACGTCATTGTAG